TGGTTTAGACATTAATGCTTATTTGCTTTGTTTTATAATTTTAAACTTTATTTTTATATTATTATATTTGCTTTGTTTTATACTTGTAAACTTTATTTTTATAAACTTCATTAAAAAATATCTAAAATCATAATTTGTTTGTTTTATTACATTTTCCTAATTCAAGGATTTTTCAAACTCATTATTAATTAATACAGTTATTGTATATAGCCTCCTGTAATCTACAATGTTACATTTAGTGATTAATATGAGAACTTTTAAATTGCCTTAAATTTTGTAATTGTAAACTGTGAGAAGTTTGTTTAAAATACAAATCTGATTAGTATGAAACATACCAATAAGTATTTCTATTGGATTTGATAGAATTCATTATAAAATGCAAACATCTTAAGAGAAAACCAACATAAGCATGAAAACTTCAAGCCTTAGTAATATTATATTAAATTTTGTTTTCTTTTAAAATGGCTGAATTTTATAAAAAAGCTTACCAAATCTTATTAGACATCTGAAAATACAACATATTTAAATATGTTTGTTTAAAATTTCTAGACCATGGTTTTAATATTAAATTTTTTTTATAAGGACTCATTGTCTCACAATATAATAATTAATTTCTGAAAGTCTTTAATAAAAATTAACCGATTTAAATATATTTGTTAGTCAGTTTCATTCGAGCCAGATTTGTATTTAAAACAAAATTTTTACGGTTTACAATTTTAAAATTCAAGGAGATTTAAGTTAGTACAGATATCACACACTAGATGTCGCACTGTAGATTCCAGGCGGTTTAAACTGTTAGTAAAGCCCTTGGGCAATAGATGTCGCTATCTAGAATGGATCTGCTTGCAGCGCCACGGGCGGTGATATCCGCTGTTAAATTAACTTTGTTTCGATTTTCTAACGAGAGTCGGCTATCTATACCTTCGGTCATCTATGGCGCCGCCGTACAATTTGGCCATAATCGGACTGCACACAGACGTCATCTGCTTCTGTTTGTCCTCGTATTCTGCCTTTTCGGCCAACGTGTTGCTGTCCAGCCATCGCAAACAATCTTCGCATTCTTTCTCCACCTTCGACTTGTCATCGGCAGATAATTTGTCGCCGCATTCGTTCACTGCCTGCTTCAATTGGAAAACGTACGCTTCTAGCTGGTTGCGGGCAGCTACTTTTTGTCTCTGCTTCTCGTCCTCTTCCTTGTATTGCTCGGCTTCGGATACCTACCATTCGGTCGATGTCTTTCTGCGATAGGCGACCCCTGTCGTTTTTGATGGTAATGTTGCGAGAATTGCCAGAACTGGTATCTTTCGCCGAGACGGTCAATATTCCGTTGGCATCCAAATCGAAGGTAACTTCAATTTTCGGAACTCCTCTCGGTGCAGGTGGTATTCCAGTTAGATCGAATGTTCCCAATAAGTTGTTGTCTTTGGTCATGGCTCTTTCCCCTTCAAATACTTGAATTGTGACGGCTGGCTGATTATCAGCGTATGTGGTAAATGTTTGCGTCTGCTTGCATGGAATTCTGGCATTTCGTTCGATCAACTTTGTCATAACTCCACCGGCTGTTTCGATTCCCATCGAAAGTGGTGTTACATCGACCAATAAAACGTCTTGGATTTTTGAATCTGTTTCGCCGTTCAGTACAGCAGCTTGAACGGCAGCACCATAACCCAGCTAGCACAGAAACATCCCAACAATGTACAGCGATGTAAAATTGGGTACATTAAACCTCCCGTGCAATGTACTGTTGATATCGCATGTCTATTGAGGCAACCTCCGAATTTCCGCAACATGTTTACATTGGACAATGTTTTCGAGATGTTACATTGTTACGTACTGAAAACGTTAGTTTGAAACATCAATTAAAGTAACTTTAAAACATGCATGCTATGTTTAGATGTAATGTTCCATGAATGTAACTTATTGATATAAAAAGGCTTTAGCAAAAGATACAGGCATCCGGCAAATCATTTTATGTTTTTATACTTCTTTTTTTAGTATTTGTTTTATAAAATGTAAAAAAACTTAAATTTTTAGATAATTTTTGTTACATTATAAACAAATTTGTTTATAATGTAACAAAACTTATCTAAAAATTTAAGTTTTTCTACATTTTATAAAACAAATACTAAAAAAAGAAGTATAAAAACATGAAATGATTTGCCGGATGCCTGTGTTAATGCATAAAAAAGAAAAACAAAAACACAAAGTAATTTGCTTTATATGTAAGTTCTAAAGAAATTAAAAAAAACTACTTATAATAAATTAATATATTCAGCTAAAAAAAATTGTATACACACTGTACAAATCGTCGTTTATCTGACAAAGAGGCGTAACTCAAAAAAAATCGTTTTTGAGTTATACCAGAATGATCACCAAAATCGACTTTATAATCTCACAAACTGGCGTAGCTCTATAATAAATAGGTACAAATAAAGTTTTAGCATAAATCAGTTTCGGCGTAACTAATATTTTTGCATTTTGTGTGCCGTACAAACTGGCGTAATTCAATTCACACCGTTTTGTTTAAAAATGAGATACGCCTCTTTGTCAGATAAACGACGAAATAATAAATTCACGTTTTCCAATCATGTTGAGAACATTGCTTCTGGATCTATGAAAAGCTTGGGATTTATAATTCGCAATACTGGGGGTTTTAGAGATATTAGAACATTTCAGTCTCTTTATTACGCATTTGTTGTATCTAAGCTGGAATACTGCTGTATTGTTTGGAGTCCGCAATACAATATTTATAAGGATAGGCTTGAAATTTGTTTCGTTTAGACTTGACGGTATCTATTCTGCTAGAGGAACAAACCACTTGCAGCTTCTTAATAGATTTTCTTTACTGCCTTTGGAGCTAAAAAGAATAATAATGCATTTGAAGTTTTTGTATGGACTGTTGCATAACCAGATTGATTCTATATCACTCCTTGAATCTGTGAATTTGCGTGTTCCATTTTTTCAAAGCCGTAGTCAATTAACTTTTACATATAAAACACCTAGAATAAATGCCATGTATAATTCACCCGTTCAGAGAATGTGCAGATACTTTAAAGTTAATTATTAATTAATATTTACTGTAGCTCATGTGATATTTTTTACCAGACTTTTAATAGTATAGTTAGTGCTGCATCTAGCAATTATAATTTACTTTAATTTTAATATTATCCATAATATATTATACTTAACAAATTTCTTTTCTATGTATGTATTTTGTCCTGTAATTTTGGAACATGTTCTGTTGGGCAATAAATAAATAAATAATAATAAAAACAACACATTTAGATACAAAATATATATTCCCATTTATGGGTTTTAGTGGCAAGAGGTTTACTAAAGCTTATCAAAAAGAAAGGTCTGTCTAATCTGTAAGCATGGCAAATGCGTCTGGCAGGTGAAAAACTGAACATTATTTTTCAGTTTTTTACCTGCCAGGCGCATTTGCCATGCATACAGATGACTGACTTTTTTAATGAACTTTAGTACACCCCACAATCCACAAATTGTGGATTGTGGTACACCCCTTGCCACTAAAACCATTTTTATCAGTGAAGAAAAACCCATTGGAAAACCCACTTAATTTCATATATACAGGATGTCCCAAAATCACCGATACAAAAACAAAAGAATAAGTAAAAAAGATCACAGTATATACACAGACACAGTAAACTACTTACAGAACAAACCACGCTAGCATCAGAGATAAACGCCATAGAAAAAGAAGTGTTCTTTGGTGGGAAATAGAACATGAGATAACCTAAAATAAATGGCTTCCAACCACAGAAATATTTCTGTGCTTCCAACTTGATAAATGCAAAATTGACATAACATTGATAGATTTTATTATCACCATCAATAATACTAGATATTAATAAATGAAATTTCGATTGTTTTTAAAGTTTTTTCACTAATAATATTTAAATAAATTATAATTTCACTCTATTTAAGCCTTTTATTTTATTTATTTATTTTTATATTGTTGGTACCGTTAATCATATGACAAGTAATATACTTAAAATTACCTTTAGTTACATTCTTGGTACATTTACATTAGATGTTTGTTGCAAGTACTTATGTTATGTTATAGGTATGTAACAATACATCGATGTGCAATATTAAAAAATAATATATGGGCAATATACCTGGTATGTTTTCAACGAGATGTATTTATGCGACCTAAACAGAACATCGCACGAGCTCGCGTTATGTATCGTGCTAGCTGGGAAGCCACTGCTTCATCTGGGTTGATGGACAAATTCAAGGGTTTTCCGCAGAAATAATTTTGGAGCAGTTGTTGAATTTTGGGAATTCTTGTTGAGCCTCCAACCAAAACGACATCGTGGATTGCTCCCTTGTCCATTTTGGCGTCTGCAAGAGCTTTTTCAACGGGTTGTAGAGTTCCTCGGAATAAATCTGAGCATAGTTCTTCGAATCTTGCTCTCGTAACTTTTGTGTAGAAATCAACACCTTCGAAGAGTGCATCAATTTCAATGGAGGCTTCTGTACTTGATGACAAGGTTCTCTTTGCTCTTTCTGCAGCCGTCCTCAATCTTCGAAGAGACCTTGGGTTACTTCGTAAATCTTTTTTGAATTTTCTTTTAAATTCGTCTGCCAAATGGGTGACGAGTCGGTTATCAAAGTCTTCTCCTCCAAGATGTGTATCTCCGGCAGTGGCCCTTACTTCAAACAGCGATCCCTCATCGATGGTAAGAATTGAGACATCAAAAGTACCACCACCCAGATCGAAAATCAAAACGTTCCTTTCTCCTTTGAGATTCTTGTCCAATCCGTATGCTAAAGCGGCTGCTGTGGGCTCATTGATGATTCTCATCACGTTTAATCCGGCGATGTGACCAGCATCCTTTGTTGCTTGCCTTTGTGAATCGTTGAAGTAAGCTGGAACTGTAATAACGGCATCTTTGATTGTCGATCCCAAATAAGCTTCCGCCGTTTCCTTCATTTTAGTCAACACCATCGAGCTGATTTCTTCCGGAGCGAAGGTTTTGATTTCTCCTTTGAATTCAACTTGGATTTTTGGCTTTCCACAGTCGCTTACCACTTTGAATGGCCAGTGTTTGATGTCTTGCTGAATTTTGGGGTCGTCATATTTCCTACCGATAAGTCGTTTGGCATCGAATACAGTGTTGTTTGGATTCATCGCGACCTGGTTCTTGGCTGCGTCGCCCAGAAGACGCTCGGTGTCCGTGAACGCCACGTAACTAGGGGTTGTTCTGTTTCCTTGGTCGTTGGCGATGATTTCCGCCTTTCCATGTTGCCACACTCCGACGCAAGAGTACGTGGTTCCCAAGTCAATACCAATTGCTGGAGCTTTCACCATTTTCTTTTTTTAGTTAATTTATACTTTGAACGTTAAACTTTTATTTAATATCACTGTTTAATAGCTTTGAAATACTTGGTAGGTAAAGTTGCAGTTCACTATGTTTTGTTGTTTACTGTTCGCTTGATTCAAATAGACTGCCTAGCCGCGCGCTCGGTTCGCTTTTATATGAACGGTCGAATCTGGGGTCGAATACGCTCGATCAATCTCGAATGTACTACGCGCTCGAGAAAACTTTTGCCACAAAATTAATATAATTTTTTATTATTTTTATATTAAAATTATTGTTTAAATGAATTAATTAAATAAATGATAATGCAACTACTACTATTAAATCTAAAATAACAATTTATTCTATTTAAATTTATATTTATTTCAAACGCTAGAAATTTCTAGACGACTCGGTGCGTTGCGTCAGAATACAATACAAAGCGGTTTCTATTTTTTGCGGTAGGTAGGAACATTTTGTAAAAATTACAAAATATATTTATTTGTATATGTTTAATGTAATACGGGGGTGTGCGATATTTCTCAAGTTGTGATTTTACTTGGTATATAGATTATTAAATACATTTTGTTTACTGTAAAAACAATTTGAAAAAAAAAATGTTTTCGGATGTCGTTTAAGCCTTCCCGAATGACAAAATTCATCTCGTTAATAAATAGCAACAGTATATTATATATATGTATATAATATATATTTTTATACGTGTATATATATATTTTCTTAGAAAATTTTATGTTCTACAAAATAGTATTTTATATTTTTTTCGTAAAACCATCTGTTTAAATGATATCGGAAATTCAAAATAAATTTATTTAAATTAAAATAAAAAGTTATCATTATCATTGTTTTGGAAAAATTGTTATTAATGTATATAAAAATAAACTTTAAACGCTTTCCAAAAAAGAGTTGTTTGAAAAGTTTAAAATATTATTAAATTAAACACATGCATGTTTTTATTTCTTGGAGATGGAAAACTGTTTTGTAAAAATTACAAAATGCATACATTCATTTTTTTATTTAAAGTTGCAATGACAAAAATTCGCCTCGCTAATAAATAGCTACAGTAGGTACATACATATTTATAATATATTATAAATATTAGGTGTATATTATAATATAATATATAAAATTATATATAATTATATATAAGACATATTTTTGTAGTAAATTTTATGCTCCACAAAAAAGTATTTTATATTTTTTTCGTAAAACCATCAATTTAGATGATATCAGAAGTAACAATTTGTTCTATTTTAATGCTTATATATATGCAAACGCTAGAAATTTCCAGACGACTCGGTGCGTTGCGTTGCGTCTATAAATCAATACAATTTTTTGCGGTAGGAAAATTTTGTAAAAATTACAAAATATATTTGTATGTATACATTTAATGTATTACTTGGGGGTGTACGATATTTCTCAAGTGATTTTACTTGGTAGGTAAGATATATTTATGTGGGAAATTGTATGCTCTACATAAAATATTTTATATTTTTTTCGTAGAACCATCCATTTAAATGATATCGTAAATTTGGAATATATTTATTTAAATTAAAATAAAAAGTATTTTCATTAGGGTTAGAAATTTTGAGTTTACTGCGCTGCCAATATTCGTTTATAGAGTCTAGCTTTGGATGAACTATTTTAATTGTTTCCATCTCTATCGTTAATTTAGTATATCCATATAGAATAAAAAGAGAAAGCACGTATGTAGCCCAAAAATAAATTTATATTGAAAAAGTCGCATTTCACCGGCTTTGGCCAGGAAAACACCGTTTTTGGCCATAGCAAGACCCAGTTTTGGCCACCATTTAAATGAAGCGAATTTTATTCAGTTTTTATTATTTTTTGTAATAAAAAAGTTTAAAAATATAAAAGTAATAACAAAAATACATTCTATAAAACAAATACATTTTAAAATATAACCCTATAAAGTTCTATATTTCAGAGCATTATATATTTCAGTGTTATAGTTATATATTTCAGTGCGCCCGTTTAGTTCGGTAACTAATCTTTATATTTTTTCATTTTATCCACTAAATATGCTCCCTTGTGTTCTTCTGAACTCGTTTTTCCTTTCTGGCCATTTCCAATAAATGTAGCCTTAGCCTAGAAAAAACCATACACCCATTTTATTTTTATAACCATCCCAGGAAAGTACACTGAGAAAATTCCAATCTTAAATTATCTTAATGAAATTATCTACATAGTGTTCAAAATATATCTAATAACCAGTACAAATTATCTATCTGTGACATAAAGTCGAATTAAGGTGACTAATAGATACGTTTTAATAAAGTGTTAAAACAAAAAATATAGATCATCTATATTTATATTTTAACAATCATAAAATATCTAAATACCACCATAAACTCGGATTAATATGTCGCTGTTCTTAAAATTATTTTAATGCCAGTGATAAATAACTAAATATGGTTAATAGACGACCTTGTTAAAACTTGTCTTAATAACCATTACTAGTCAATTGTGAACACATAACATAAGATTGTGAACCACCTTAAATTATCTAAAGACCTTAAGAAGTTGTATAATGGCCTTAACAAACTCATCTACCTAACTGACAGATTCGGCTTTCCGACTATACTCGAATCGACCAATCGTTTAACTAGCGTCCATAGCACAGAACAGCGTCCTCTGTGGAAGCGTCATTTATTATTTCTCACTTGTTAACGGGAAATTGAGGATAATATTGAATCGTTTATAGAAGAAAAAGGGCGTTTCTTCACAATTGTTTTGCGGTAATTTTACAGAACATAGTAATGGCTTTCAAAGTTACTCTGCTTGAATGTGAGCTCAGTGATTTTGTTAAAGGATTTGAAGGTAGGTTCAATTTCTTTCTAGTTTCCGGGGTTCCTGCATTAAACATTTATAAAATTCATGCTGTATTTAATATGTTGATGATACTTTTATAAATGTATGCTTTGAAGTTTATTTTATAGGATATTGCTAAAATCTGAAATATATTTTTGGTAAAATGTTTACAATTTATTATTATTAGGTACCATATTTATAAATAAACCAGCTTGAGAAAGATTACCAAGATTTTTAATAGGTCAGAATATTGGCTTTGATTCCTTAATTTATTATTTAATTATACCTACATGCATGCCATCTTAAAATTATAACTTTATACATGCATGTATAAAGTTATAATTTTAAGATGGCCTATCTGCTGAAATAGTTTAATTTTTTTAAAGCTCAATTGTTATCTTTCTTTTTAGGGTAAATGGAAATAATCCTTAAAAGTATTATTAATTAATATTTCTACTAAAAGTACCCAGATAGCACACTGACGTATGCTGACGTTAAAATGACGTTACCAAAGTCATTTCAACGTCATATAAACGTCAGTGTGCTACCTGGGTAAAGTCTTGAAAATGAAAATAAAGTCCCAACGCAGAAAATGCACTAATAAGGTCGTCTAGTAAAAATAATTTCGGTATTTATCTCTATTTTATTTCCTAAAAAAATAAGGAAAGCATTAATTTATGCTAATTGCGATATGTTTTTCTGATTTTTTTATAAACATTTAGGTTAGAGTGCTCCAATTGATGAAAATAATGGTGTTAATGATTTTTCTAAATAAAATAAAAATGAATGCCAAAATTATGTTCAAGTACTTGAAGACTAAAATGAAAATCCAACCTTTTAATGCATTTTTTCGCGTTGGGGCTTTATTTTATTTTCAAGACTTTACTTTTAGTAGAAATAATGCTTTTAAGATTTATTTTCGTTTATTTATACCATGGTGCAGCTCCATTTATAATAAAATTAAACTATTGCCGTAAATAGGCCATCTTAATATGATAGCTATAGCATATTATTATGGCAAATAAATATATTTAGGATCATATTAAGATAGCATAAGAGGATATTAGGATGGAATTAAGATGATCATAAAATAATAAATTTACCATTATAAGATTATTTATTTGCCATATATGTACCAATTTGGGATCATATTAAGATGTCATAAGAAGATATTTAAGTGATATTAAGATGATCCTAAAATATTATATTAACCCTTATAAGATATATATTAATGGCCGATATAAAAACTTTTGATGGTCTTATGATAATTGTATTAAGTTTGCTTATTGATGGTCACAAAGTATAGTTATTAAATTGAATCTATTAATGGTATTTAAACGGTCTTAATGTCCCCTATTTTACTGCGATATCTTAAATAAGGTTATTAAGAATCTTAAAGATGGTCTTAAATTATTTTTCTCGGTGTAACTTTTTTCGTTATTTACAATGACAAATGTGCCCTTATAAATCTTTCTTTGGTTTTATATACTTCAGTTTTAGTTGCCGCATTTTACGTGTTTGAATCTTCATCTGAAGATGTGCCTCCATTTGCGGAAACGGGTTTGTCATTGGGTTTGCAAACCCAATGACAAGCCATGGCTTTTGTAGTCTTTGACTTGATCATTATTTATAAAAAAATTACTTTGAAAAATTTACAATTTAAATAATGAAAAATCACATTTCAAGAGATGCCTTAAAAATCATTTTTATGAGTATGAATATAAGAGACGTATAACCGGCCCCATTGCCTCATCGCTCCCGGGCCCCGTACAGGCCTATTTTTCCTTACGCCGATTTTCGTTCGCCACCAGCAACTGCACGGCTTCACCCGTATTTGCCGAGTGCGAATGTCCATTGCGTTCGGTTCTGTCCCCTATTTAGGGCTTGAGAGCAAAATGCCAATTGTTTAAATAGCCATTCCCGTGTTCGCCGAGCCGATGCTATACGCCCAGTAGGGTCGTAAAGGAAGTAGGACGGGAGGGATAGACATTTTTGTTGTTTGGGGGATAATTACGCCGACTCAAATCTAAGTACGACGCGGAATCTCCCTAGACCAGGCAATTATTATTACTCCACACATTTGAGATTACTATTTGGAGTTAAGGAGTTGTTATTCCGCTGCAGGGGCCCAGTTTTCTAGTCGTGGTCTACGTTTTCGTCATTATTGTCTATGTCCGTGTCCAAGTCGGATTGTTCCTGCACTTGTTATAGTGATTTAGTTTTTTTCTTTATCTCATTTTTATTGTTGTTTAGTTAATATTTTTCTTTACTTTTAGTGTATAATCTAATGTTTTTACACAATACATTAGAATTTGATTAGTGTGCTATTTTTAATATGTTTGGGTT